ACACTTAGCATACCCACACTACTATAGTTGTTAATCTTCGGAGCGAGATACATATGCATAGATATATACGGGGTTGACATTCCCACCTGTGGTTGCTAGCTACAACCTCGACCGATTAATCGAAGCGGGTGACAAGTGTGTACAATTTTTACTACAACGTCCAATGAAGCATTGTAGAGGGGTACACTCAGTCACATAGCTCGGTTATAGGACACACTATTAACACTAATTGGGATCTCTCTCTCTCTCTCTCTCTCTCATTACAAACCATGGACTTGGTTGCTTTCAAAACTATTTTAAGTATGGAGTTACTTATGTAACGGTACAGTTTGGTTTTCAGGTATATTCAAGGATTCTTACAAACATAATTTTAAATTTGGATTTACTTATACAAATATACCTTTTGGATTTCACAGATTCTTTCCAAACACAATTTTAAGTATGGATTTACTTATACAAAGATACATTTTGGCTTTTAAAAACTCTTTGCAAACACAGTTTTAATTATTGTTATACATACAAAGAAAATATTTTCTAGACTTTTTAAAAGTATTTTTGTTGTTAGAACAAAACCTATAACTCTCACCAACCTTGTGTTGACCCTCAAAATTACATGTATTCTCAGGAAATCGCTAAACAAACATTCAAGACGGATTGAATTTCATGTGACATAGTTACTAGCTATTGTATTATTTGCCTATCTTTTAAAGCAATTCATGTACTATTATTATCTGTAAGAACCATGTATTCAAATATAAAGATGGAATACAAATTCTATTTTGTTTATTGTTGTACTTGTGTTATATATTAAGTTTACCTGTGATCCATGAATTTAATCTCCTAGCCTGACGTGTTCCGCCGCCTCGACCAGGGGTCTAACATTGGAAAACAATGGTTTGTTTATCTATGGTTTTTATGGAAATGTTTTTCAAAAATGGAAAAAATATTAGCATGATTTTTCGCGTGTTACATATATTTTATATTATATTTAGTTATAAACGTCATAAATTCGTTTGATAACAAAATATAATGTAAATTTTTTATAAGAAGTAATATTCTGGTTTTTTTAGTTTTGTAATAAAAAGATATTTGAATTGTATAATCTACTATAATAAATGAAGGTTTTTTTTATCACATGTACTTTTCTCATTCATTTGGACACATGACATTTTCTAGAATTTTTAAATTTTCTATTTTCCACTTGTCATTTTGTTGTATTTTTCATTTTATAAAATTAAAATTTCACATTTAATATGCAAGGTAATATATATGTAAAGTATTTATTAGAAATGGTTTATATATGTAATGTATTCAATACATTAAAGTCTCATTAGTTTTAATAATTCAAAAATTTTCTTATTTTTCTTATAAATTCAAACTTCTACTATAATAAATGAAGGTTTTTTTGCCACATGTCCTCTTCTCATTCATTTGGACACATGATATTTTCTAGAATTTTTAAATTTTCTATTTTCCACTTGTCATTTTGTTGTATTTTTCATTTTATAAAATTAAAATTTCACATTTAATATGTAAGGTAATATATATGTAAAGTATTTATTAGAAATGGTTTATATATGTAATGTATTCAATACATTAAAGTCTCATTAATTTTAATAATTCAAAATTTTTCTTATTTTTCTTATAAATTCAAACTATTTAAATTATTAAAATTTCATATTTATTTTTTTTAATTAAACTCATGGAATACATGGGTCTCACACCTAGTTATTAATATTCTAGGATTACATGAAGAACAAAGAGGGGTATGATTTTCTTTTTAATTCATTTCATAAGAACCATACTCCTAAATAATACGTTCTTCACATCTCTTTCTTTCACTTAATTCCTCTTCCCCAAAGATCTTGTAACCCTAGTCATGATTCAAATTAAGAAATCGACAAAGTTATCAATCAACTATCATTCCCAAATCAATGAAATCAAATCAAGTTATCGATTATCTATAAATCTAAATCAAATATGTCGAAAAGATATCAAGCTTTATTTCACCTCTTAATAATATCTACTTTGAAAGAAGTTATTTCAAATTCTAGATCTTGTAAAAAAGGTAAATCACCATTATAGTAGGTTTTTAGAATTTGTTATTTTGTTTTGATATAATCAAATCATCTATCCATATTTCTAGTTTTATAATATCGTATTCAAAATTATTTTTCAAATTATAGATAATATAGATTATAAATCATCCCCTATAATAGGCTTTGTAAAGTTTTTATTCTATTTATTCTAACTTATGAGGTATTTTTATGAAAATGCTTATTGTATGGTTAGTGATTTGCACCATTTGTTTACTCTATTTGATTTTCATATATATTAGATAATTATGTCCTCATATATCGTCGTAGTGCCAATATACCCTACATTCTTTTGTATATCGATGTATTTTCGTATTGTATTATGCAAGTGTATCATGTCCTTTCTAGAATCCGAATTACTTATGAAAGACTTGGGACCATTGTGTTACTTTGTGGGTATTATTGTAACTAATAAAATAAGTGGATTATTCTTATATGAGGAAGATTATGTTGAATAGATCTCATAAATCAAGTTGGAATATTTCATTGTAAACCATCTTCCCCATCAATTGATAGTTAATACCATATTGAATCCGTGCTAATTAAATTGAGCACATATTATGTTGACACCTCTTACTAACTTTGCATGACTTGAATACTACAATAACTTATATTTATAAGGACCAATATCTCTTATGTATTGTAGCACATATATCCCTATTTATACATGGACAAAGGGAACAACCTATACTCGAGTTCAAGCTTACTATACACTATATTAATGGAACTCTTGACCATGATGGACACCTCTAACGTCTCGCATGACCACACCAATTAGCTATAAAATGCTTATTAGGGCGGTTGCATTGGTACCCGAGTTCAATTGGATCATATCTTTTTGTGTAGGGAAAACTTGATCTCTTGGTCCTACAAACTTAAAGCCACCTTGTCTTGCTATAAACGAGGTTGAGTACCGAGAGGTCGTCAACGTGGTCTCTTAGTCGTGTTGACCATGAAAGCAACTTTTAGAGCTCTCATGCATATTAAAAAAAGTCACATTAACCTATTTTGATAACGTCAATATATACAATTAGTTTTTATGGAAATTTAGTTTAACAATACATTAAACACATCAAAATGAACACTTGTTTTTTTTGCAAAATTTGTCGAGAGTCAATTGAACTCCTTACATGTCTCTTCACATTATCATATCATGTATATCTTTACGAGGGCCTATGTTTAACCCTTTTTGACGAATCCAACGACACTCTCTAACGACCTCTTATTTTGACTTAGAGGATGTTGTAGAATATAAGTAAATATTTTTTAAAACATTTTGTATTTTGTGTACCCTGATGAAGGGAAAAGTTCAAATATGAACTACAAAAAAGTGACGAACCATAAGAATGATTATTCATAATTTTTTTTCTTATTTTTTTTATTGTTTATTTATGACAATTGTTTATTGTTTAAAAACATATAAACTTCATAGAGTTTTTATTTTAGTACAATTAGAAATGAATATTGATATAATTTTTTATACAAAAGTGCATGTAACAATATTCAAAATTTGAAATTTATCAATATTGATATATAATTATTAGAAATAAAAAATTACAACAAATTACTAAAAGCGTCCCCGTGGTTTGGTCAAACTTGGGTGTTTGGTTTCTAATTTATTTATTTATTTATTTTTTTTGCATTCGGACCGTCATTGTTGTTTCATTTGGTTGCGTTTTTAGTCCCTTGCATATATGAAAAGGCTATATTACCCTTGACCATTTCTCTTTTATTTTTTTAATATTAACCTATTAAAGAATATTATTAAAAATAAAAAATATGGGTCCCTCACCCATTATCTCTTCCCCCGTCATCACTTACCACACTCATTTGCCTTACAATACTTTCTCAATCTCGTCCTCTCCTTTTCTCACTGATGAAGCCTATAATCACTAATGCAGGAAACGTCCCCGGAAAACACCACTGATGAAGCTCATAATCACTGATGAAGCCTATTATCTCGTCCTCTTCACTGATGAAGCTCATAATTACTAATGAAGCCTATTATCTCGTCCTCTTCCCTAGAATCCATAATCACTGATGAAGTCCATAATCACCGATGCTGGAAATGTCCCCATAAAACACCACACTCCACCAGAAAACACAAGTCGTCACCATAAACCACCAAGAAACGACACCGGAAGACACGAGGAAACCACCATACACCATTGATTTGCATCATCAGTACCTTCTCTTCTTCTTGCTACCCCATCTATATAAATAATTGACCCAATTTTGACTTTTATACAGTTGACCCGTATTATGACCGTTTTGGTGGTTTTGTGACAGTTTTAAACTGTCATATGACAGTTTTCAGATAAAGATCTAAATTCAGTTTTTGGTCTCATTTCTAGTACTCACGAAATCATATCCTCTCATTCTCTTTCTTTCTATTTGATATAATCTGAGTCTTATGCAATTGAGGATTTCGGAGTACCACCCAAATACTTCGATTAGAAAGTGATTATCACAATTCTCAGATTTCCATGTGCCACTAAACCATATATATCCAACAAGGAGCGGTCGTGGTGGCTCTCTCTACTTCGTCGCATGTGGAGCACCGTGTCCTCCAGAATCCTCCGACCACCACCATCTCCTTAAACGAGTGTTGTTACCCTTTAACCCCATTTCTTCTTGAAAATCGTCTTTGGTTTCTAGGATTTCATTACATTTTTCTTTCATCATCGATTTCAGGTTAGATTTTGCGTTTTGGGTTTTGATTGCCATATTTGATTTTGATTTCAGCTTAGGTTCTGATTTCGCGATAATCGGATTTGACTTTGGTTAGGTATTTGATTTCAGAATTTATCTTGTTATGGTTTTGATTTCTTTGTTCAAGTTTGATTTCTAGGATTTGATCTTCGATGTGACCTGATGAAATCGATGATGTGGTCTGCAGTGGACCTAGAATCGATGGATGGTGGTGATGTTGGAATCTGCTGGTGGTGGTTGTTGGTCGACAGTGGTGGTTTCTAGTGTCCTGTGGTGGTTGTCGGTGTCGTGTGGTGTTTGTGCATATGTGGTGCAAGTGAGAGTATAAGTGGGTCCCACATATCTATAAATCACTTATCTGTTTTTCTTTAATTAATAAATAATAAAGAAAATAATATAAAAAATGAAAAAAAGTTACAAAAGGGAATATAGTATTTTGATCTTGGGAATTGATGAAACATGCAACAAAATTATACTATGGGTACGGTTGTAAAAAAAAAAGTTAAGGACTGAACACGTGAGAGACGATTTCAGTAATTTGTTCAAAAAATTATTAACTTTAATAATGTTTGATTGTTATTTTGGATAATAAAAAATGCTAAAGTTAGAAAAATATATTTGAGTTACTATTTGATCCTTTCATAAACTTTCTACTTATCCTATAATATGTATCCTGTTAGTTGATTGTTCAATCAATGCAATTGCAAGGAATTTATATAAACTTTCACCATGGTTCCTTTTATGGAGTCATGAGGACACATCTCCTTTAGGAGAAAGGTGATCTCTGTTGGAGTAATTCAGTAAGTGGGACCAAAATAGTCCAGGGCATTTTGCGAAGTTTTTTTTATTCTAGTTTTAGAGTTTGAGTAAAATACCTTTTGTTTGGTATAAAATATGGGACGTAGGTATCATTGTAGTTTATCCCAAAACCATGTTTAACCGGATAATAAAACTTAGGCAGTAAGTAAAACACTTAATCCCCTGTTTTTACCAAAGTTAGTTTTTTCCTCTGTTTTTTGTCCCTCTCCTTCTTCCCTCTTGTTTCTTTTTTTCCTTGTTGCAAAAGGTGCAGGTGAGTAAATCAGCTTCTGTGTTATCTGGTTTTGAAGCAGCCCCTTTGTTCTATACTCTCCTCTTTCCTCCTTTGCGTCCCCACTCAGATAAACAGAGAGTTTTGGCATATTAATCAACCAATGAGGATTCAACATATATATATATATATATATATATATATATATATATATATATATATATATATATATATATATATATTATATATAGACACACACACACACACAAATAGATTACAGATTTAGTTAACAACAGATCCTAAACACTAGGATCTTATCTATACAATAAGACTTATCTATAAGATAAAATCTATCTTATCATTTACGTTTACATTCCCCCTCAATCTTAACTGAGACAAGGTTTAGATTATATCTCAAACAATCCAACATATTACGAGTAGCTGGCTTTGTGAAGCCATTTGCAACTTGATCACTAGAAGAAATGAACCAAACATCAAGAGTACCCATTGCCACCTTCTCTCTAACAAAATGAAAGTAAACTTTTATATGCTTTGTGCACACTTGAAACACCGGATTAGCTGTTAAAAATGTAGCCCCTAATTTATCACACCATAGAACAGGAGGTTGTGGTTGATGAACTTGTAATTCCTTGAGCAAGAGTTGTATCCATATTGCTTCTGCTGTACCATTTGCTAATGTGTTGTATTCAGCCTTTGTACTGGACCTAGAAACAGTCGATTGCTTTCGTGAACACCATGAAATCATATTGGGACCTAAAAATACTGCAAAACCTCCGGTTGATCGACGATAGTCTAAACATCCTACCCAGTCTGTGAACACACTCAATAGTGTAGAGTTGGATCTCTATATGCGAATTCCTATAGTGGTTGTGCCTTTAATGTATCTCAAAATTCGTTTCACAGCCTCCGTGTGAACATTTGTGGGTTTAGAAAGATATTGGAAAACTTTGTTAACTTTAAAAGAAATACATGGCCTTATTAAAGTAAGATATTATAGACCGCCCGCCATACTTCTATATTTGAAAGTATCATCATCACTAAGTGTTGTGCCATAGCCAAGAGCAAGCTTGTCAATAATAGACATGGGGGTTGAAATACTTTTACAATTCTCCATATTGAACCGACTAAGTAAATCAGATGCATACTTGCATTGCATTAAGAGAATTCCCCCTGAATTGTGAAGTACTTCAATCCAAAAAGTAGTTCAACCGACCAAGATCTTTGATCATAAAAGAGGCAAATACCACTACTAGAAAAAAGGCCTTTTACGACTCTCATTGCGCGTCATAAAACGCTCAGACGACGCGCAAATGCGCGTCAAGGAAGGCCCTGTCATAACGAGAGACGACGCTCTTTTGCGCGTCGTCTATAGACGACGCGCGTTTACGACGCACATTTATGACACGCAATGCGTATCATTAAAGCTGCTGTCAAGAAAGGTCATGTCATAAATGAAGATGACACACATTTTTGCGTATCGTAATATTAAATTTTTAAAAAAATATTATTTATAGATTTACTGATTTTCAAATTAAATTTGCATTTCATGTCTCATAATAGAAAATAAAATACCATATACAAAAAATACAATCCATTGCACAAAAGTTAATATCATACAACATATCTGTACAAATGGACACATAGAGAAGAACAAGAATTTCTATACAATGTCTGCATCACTTAGAACTATTTTTTAAACAATTTTATTACTATATATGACAATTTCTAAAAAGCCAACCATGTCTACTTCAGATAGCTCTGGCAACTCATCCATAGATTGGCTACCCATAGCCTAAAAAAATAGAAAGGGAAAATTGGTCATTTTGGGATAAATTTTATTTCCAATGGGTCAAATGGGTAGAGAATGTACCTACATTTGCAATACGAACCGTAGAAGTGACTCAAGCTGCAAAAAGTAAAGCAGGTAGGAAGAGAGAACCATAGAGAATCCAAAGTGAATAAGATGAGGTGGCATGTAACTAAACATGACCAGGTCTGCATGAAAAAAAAAACAAAAGAAAAGAAAACTAAAAGTAGAAGTTTACCTCTTCTTTACATGTTCTGAATTTTGTGCATTGTAGTGGAAGTTCCTATACGTATAGTGCATCTCATTAAGTAACTAAAACTCAAACACCCCACCCATACAAACATGTAAACAGCCAAGTTGACCACCAACGGGTACCCAAATAACGGAAATACCCCTCGTGCCAATACACAAAATTAATGAAAGTAACTTGCATATGAGATAATACACAAAATTAATATCAGCTTGAATGATGGTGACACATGGATGTTTTTGCATAAACATATTGGATATATGTTTCTTAGAGTTCCATATTGTTATTTAGACACCATATTTAGGATTTATTTAGTTTCCCTTTTTTAGCCTTGTATACAATCATACAACTGCATTACATGTGCATAACATAACTGTTAAAAGTTGTCCTATTTTGTTTTGTGTATGATCAGATGCATTCTTCCCTAGAAAAGCTAACAATGTTGCCAGAAGACACAAATATATACTTTGGTCATGAATATACATTGGTAAGTCATGTTTTCTTTTAGACCTAAACACAAGAAATAGCATATGAGATGCACAAGCTAACATTTATTGGTTTACTACTAGAGGTAATCTTTTTCTTACCTGTCTTTAGCCTCTCCTGCAATCTTTTCATTGTATAAGTTTTTATTCCCACCTTGACCTGCTATCATATAAAAAACACAAGAAACATAAAGTAAAAGCCAAGCCACCATATAATAATACAATGGGAGAACAAATTTAAATTTACCAAAGACAGCAGCAACATTAGTGTGTCTTCCAATATGCTGCAATGATCCATATCTACATATCATTTTTTTAGAGAAATGGGTGCCCAATGACAGAAGCCTGAATTATATATAAACTTACATAGTATAAGAAAATACACCATACAAAATATAAAGTCAAGATGAAAAAAAAGAATCATACCTTGATGCAGATGATACATCATTATCATTTCCACCTTTATTCAATGACAAATAAACAACAGCAAAGACAAATGTCAGGATGCCTTCTTCTGCCAAACTCACACCAGCAAGCATCTCTAATGAACTAATTATCCATAAAAAAAATAATAAAAAAATAAAAATTGAGATAATGTCATATTTAGTTATGTATCAATCAAACTGAAATTTATAAATAGTAAATCTTACATTTCAATTAGGTTTACAAAGTAATCCATAGAGCAGTCAACCCATGATCTCCAACCACAACAAAGACCAATCTCAGGATGCCTACAGTAACTTCCTTTTCCTGACCACCATCATTATAATAATATTAATAATAATAATAATAATAATAATAATAATAATAATAATAATAATAATAATAATAATAATAATACGGGTTTTGTTTGCTGAAAAGTGATAATATTTTTGTTTACAGAAAAGTCAACAACATAATAAATTACAAATGAGCAAAAACCAACCAAAGACCAAATCAAAGTATGTCTGTCTTACCTGAAGCCCAAAAGGTTTAAGTGTTCTATTATAAGCTCCTGGGCGAGCAATGTTGGTCTTTTGCAGGGGCAACAAAAGTCTTTTTCACCAAAACAGGGAACTGGACACAGGAAAGTAACCTAAACAGCGGACAAAAACAGATGAAAGATAGGAAGGGAAAAACTGGAATTAACAGCCTTCTGGGAAAGCTGCACAGCACAAAGGACAAAGTGAAGGCACAAAAATGGTTTGCTGATCTTGTGACTTTCATCAGCAGCCTTCTTCACTGCCGAGTAAGCATTTCCCTTGAATCTCATTCAAGGCTATCTTGTACAAACGGTTTGCTGATCTTGTGACTTTCATCAGCAGCCTCCCGGTTCTGTCATAAATCCACAAAAATGCTCCATGCAAAATATTGTCTTTTACACAGGATAGGTAAGAGCTTTATTCACAGGGTAATCACAAAGAAGAAGAAAGGCCTGTTCAGGCGGGGGAAAAACAAAACTCACTTTACTGTAGGATTGAAAAGAAATAAGTGGGGCTAATTTTCTGTTTTTTTCATTCGAATACTTGACTGGGAAATCGACTACATATTTAAAAGGAAAATAAGGAAAATGCTTCCTAAACTAATGGGGCAACTAACCCACTTCTTTATTACGCCTAAAGAAAAGGAAATATGGCTAACATTTCCTTTTGAAAGTGTCAAGCTACTAAATAAACTTAAATTTCCCAAAATACCCTCTGGATTAAACCAACAAGCAATGCCACAACTGAAAAGATGAGGGGCATGCGCCAACAAATTTACAGTCATAAACGCCCCGTAAGAATGTCCCCCAATTGCAATTTTGCCTGGATGAGCCACCTGAACCACATACCATTTCCAGTTTAGTCAATCAAACATCTCACTCACTGACTCACTGAGTCGGTCAGTAGTACACTACATCATCTGATATGGTGGTTTAGAATATGAATAGATTTGATTATATCGATGGTTGAATCCAATGTAAAAAAGGAAACATCTCCAATCACACAAAAACCTGAATCCAAATGGGGGTGGGGGTGGGGTCGGGGGGGACGAACTAAGGTTAAAATCGAAGAAAATATATTTACAATTGAAGACAAAATTTAGGAAATAACCTACCTGAGCAACTTTCTACGAGTATATGGAAAAATCTTCTAAGTCGTTTGCTTTGATTTTTCTTAGATCAACTTTTTCTCCAAACCCTATTACTTGTTGGTACCGATTTTAGGGTTTCACATGGAACAAGAAAGAGGTGGTGATGGAGAAGATGGTAGGGTAGCGATGGATGGTAGGAATGGTGGTGATGGTCGATTGTGTTGAGGTTGCAGGTGGTGAGATGTAGTTGCGACGACCATGGCGGTGGTGCAAGATAGTGGTGGTATGTACCATGGAGGGGAACTGTACAGAGAGAGAGAGAGAGAGAGAGAGAGAGAGAGAGAGAGAGAGAGAGAGATGGTGCTGAGTCTGATGAGGTGAGCGTTCCTTTGGAAGGAGGAGACGCAAGCGGGGTTTTTAATTTTTTTGGATTTCATTTCCCCTAAAAAATGAAAACACGCACCCAGAGACTAAAATTATAAAGCGACACGGTAACACGACACGCTTCTTAGGATAGGTGCCCTCCGTGTTTTTAATTTTTTTTTGGACACTAATTTTAGGGGCGCACAAAAATGCGTGTCCACTATCATTCAAATTTTGCTAAACTGACATTATTTTCTAGGGCACGTACAAATGCGCGTCGTCTATCAGCGCGTGTCATTGTTTGCGCGTCATTAAAGGGCTGTTTTCTAGTAGTGTACGGTACCAATTAATTGTTGGAATAGTGTCTAAGGCTGCAACTATATTAGGCAAGTATTTGACTCGGTTGTGCATGGTCCTTTTGGGTTGCCTTCACCATAGCAACTTGATGGATGATTTGTTAAAAGAGAGTAAATATTATAAGGAATAATATATGGTTATTTGATTAATATAAGTCATAGATTAATTGGAATTAATTTGGTGACTTAAAGAGATTAATTAAATAAGAGGGTATAAACTGTCAATTGTTTGATAGTTACACTTTAGACTATAAATCCTTATCCTAGATAGGATGGACGATTTCTAGGGCTTGGATAAAGCCAAAATCATCCATAGGGTTATCAAGGAAAGGATATGGATTAACATAAAGTCTAAGTTATCCAGTTAGGGTTGAAGTTGTAATCCTTAAGGAGTCTACAAGTATAAATAGACCCTAGGGGTGAGGGAATTCGACACACCATCAAAAGTAGAGATACTCTAGCCGAATTCCTCCCCTCTCCTCTCTCCTAAATCATCTTGCTTGCTTTTGGTGTTTGTAAGCCATTAGAGGAGTGACATTTGTGACTCTAGAAGCTCCAAGACAACAAGATCAACAAGGAATCCAAAGGTATGATTCTAGATCTGTTTCAATGTTGTTATTTAACCTAATTAGCCATTAGAAGTCTTGGTTTCAAAGCATGTTTAATTAGAAAGCCTAGATCCGAGCATTAGGGTTTTGCATGCGCACATAGGAAAGTTCTTATGGCTAAAACCTATCAGTGGTATCAGAGCCTAGCTTGGTTTTCTTTAAATTGTTGCTTGATTAACTGAAACAAACCTGCAAAATTCATTTTTTAGGTTTTTGGGTCACTGACTCGGCGAGTCCCAAGGTGGACTCGGCGAGTAGGCCTAACTCGGCGAGTCCCCTTGTGCACTCGGCGAGTCCAGGCGTCAGGAATGGCCAGATTCGGGATTTTTTCATAATTATCTTATGGAAACTTACCTTAGTCATAATAGATCAATATAAATCCGATTTTTTGATATATATGACTATTATCTTGATCTAATTAAAGATATTTATCATCTAATAAAATATTTAATTTCCTTATATGATAATTGATTAATTATTTTGATAATTATCTTAAAAGAAATCTTGGATAAATCAAATAAAGATAATTAGGATATTAATTGTTAATTGGAATTATTTGTTATTTGATCCTCCATGTTTTAAATGTTTAAAACCTATCCTAAAGTTTTGAAATTTATATTTGTGATTAAAAGTTTTAATTTAGACAACTTAAATTTCAAACCCTAGATTTTAAAAAGTTTTAAAATACAACCCTATACTAATATGATATTACTAGAATAATATATACATATATAACTAAATGCTAGTCTTACCGTTAGTAGGTCTCATTCACGAAGCCGGTCTATAAGTTGGGTATAAGGTTGCGGCCTATAAAATGGCGCTTAATGGGTGTACACTCACACCCACCGCTTGCTTGATTGGTGGAGGGTCGTTAGCCGAACGGGTAGGATAGGGCAACCTCATCCTCTCATTAAAAGTATAATAAGAAATATAAAGTAACTACACAGATTTTAAAAATTTCCCAATTCTAGTTACTTTAGGAAAAGTGAATTGATACGATCCCATGAAATTACACTTTGCACCTTGCTAAGAAGTTAGTGGAGCATGTGTGGTTTACCGGCATACTAATTGGTTCTAAGCAAAGGTGGCAAGGGGTGATTCATTGTTTATCATAGTTCGATGGAGCGTGTGTGGTTTACCGGCACATCGAATAGGTGATCGTTTCAATGAAGGCACCATGTGAATTTGCATGGTAATTCACACCCGCTTTGTGATCCTCGGCATCCCAGTCACAAACGAGAGGGGCATATCGAGATTTAAACATGACATTGAATAGTTTCAATGAATCTCATCCAAACCTAGGAATTCTCAAAAAACACTTAGGACTAATAGTTTAAGTTTTGTAATGGAGAATTAGTGAATCATCATTCACTTACCTTCAATTTATTTGCATGTTAGATTACGGCATCCCTTTTCTAGTATGTAAATGTTATTGTTGGATCCTGGCCGTAATTTTTCTTATTGGGTGATAATTAGGGATTCTTATTCTAATCTATCTTTGTCCTTTTTCTAATTGAAGATGTCGAACGCAAACAACGCTGCTGCTAGTTCTTTCACGTTGATGAGCCTTTGCCAAAAGGTCACCTTCGATGGAACGAACTTTAGCGAATGGATAAGATACATTCGCACCATTGCTCGCTATGAGGATAAGGAGTATCTCCTCGATGAGAAGCTCGAGAAAATCAACCCCGAAGTTGCTACTCCCGCCGAAATCACCGCCTTTGAAACTCATGAGCGAGATGCAATGAAGGTACATTGCATCATGATCGCCACCATGAACTCCGAATTCCAAAAGTCCTACAAGGACATGTACCCGTACGAAATGCATCAAGACTTATTGGAGAGGTACCACCAAAACGCGAGACAAGAGCGTTATGAGATTTTCACTAACATGATCTCCGCTAAGATGGGTCATGGAGAATCTCTTACCGTGCACCTGCAAAAGATGCAAAGGTATGTCGACCGCCTTCGCAAGTTAAATGTTGACTTCGGTGAAGACTTGGCGATCGATATGGTGCTTCACTCTTTGCCTCCGATGTACAACCAATTTAGGATGACCTACCACATGAACAAAGAAGAGGTCACCCTAAGCAAACTCCAAGGTCTCTTGAGGGTCGCTGAGAGCAACTTCAAGGACAAGTCTGTTGCATCTACTCCCAATCCGTCCGCTGCTCCTGTCTTGGCTATTGGTCAAGGGAAGGGAAAGAAGAGGAAAGATTCATCGAATAACTATCGCAAGGTGAAAGCCCGAGATGGTGCCTCTTCTAGTGGGATCAAAGTTGATCCCGCTAAGCCCTGCTCCAACCCAAAGGAGGCAGAGTGCCACCACTGCCACAAGATAGGACATTGGAAGAGAAGCTACTCGGATTACCTGCAAGCGATCAAAGAAGGAAAGATCAAGCCATCTTTCGCAGGTATATACACAATCAAATCTAATGATTCTAATCATGCTATTTCTTGGGTTCTTGATACCGGTTGTGGTTATCACATTTGTTCTAATGTGCAGGGACTAAGAAGAAGTAGGGATGTAGAGCAAGGAAGGATCAATCTAATCATGGGGAACAGAAGATCGTCACCTGTGACCAAGATTGGAGTGTATTCTTTAGTGCTTAGGAATAGTTTTGTTTTAGATTTGAACAATTGTTGCTATTCGCCAGAAATGGCTAGAAACATCATTTCATTTCATGGTTTATATAGACAAGGATTTAGATTTTCTTTTAATAATGAGAATGGTTCTATTTTGGCTTATCTAAATGGTGTCTTTTACTTTGAAGCTATACCATGTAATGGAATATATGAAACTGTTATGATTGTTGATAACTTAGGAAATGATGTTTTGAATATTGATTCTTCCACTAGTATGGATAAAGCATCCTTGTGGCATTGTCGTCTTGGACATGTCAACAAGAAACGCATAGCGCAACTCCAAAAGGATGGAGTGTTGGAGTCATTCGACCTTAGGGAAGATGACACATGCGAATCTTGTTTGCTTGGAAAGATGACTAAGTCACCCTTCACGAATACTTGTGAAAGGGGTGAAGGGCTATTGGACCTAATACATACCGATGTATGTGGACCCTTTAGATCAACCACGAAGGATGGGAACCGCTTCTATGTGACTTTTACCGATGACTATAGTAGATATGGGTATATCTACTTAATCAAGCAAAAGTCAGACACCTTTGAAAAGTTCAAAGAGTTCAAGAATGAAGTGGAGAATCAATTGGGCCGGAAAATCAAGATGCTTCGATCCGATCGAGGAGGAGAGTACCTAAGTCTTGAATTCCACGATTATCTCAAGGAGTGTGGAATAGTTTCGCAATTGACACCTCCTAGGACACCGTAGTTGAATGGTGTGACAGAAAGGCGTAATCGAACCTTATTGGATATGGTTCGCTCTATGATGAGTCGTGGTTCACTACCTATCTTCTTTTGGGGGTATGCCTTAGAGACTGCCGCCCATATCCTTAACCGAGTCCCTACTAAGAAGGTTGCCAAAATACCTCACGAGATGTGGACAGGGAAAGCTCCCTCGTTGGCACATATCAAGGTTTGGGGTTGCGAGGCTTTCGTAAGACGAGATACTCACGACAAGCTTGAACCTCGAAGTGAGCGATGTATTTTCATCGGCTACCCACAAACTTCCTTTGGATATCTCTTCTATAGACCGAAAGACAATGTTGTCTTTGTTGCGAGGAGATGAGTTTTCCGAGAGCGAGAACTCATAAGCCAAGGAGACAGTGGGAGGCAAATCGAACTTGAAGAGATTCAAGAGTCGATAGATGAAGGAACCTCTACCGCTGGCATTCAACCCGAGGAGGAAACTCCGGTTGAACCGATTGACGAATCCTTACCTCTTAGACGTTCCGATAGAGGTAGAGTTCATCCCCAGTTTTATGGCTTTCATATTACTACCGAAGGGGACACGTATATTAGTGATGGTACACTAGTAAATATTGATGAACCTAACAGCTATAAGGAAGCCATGGCAGGCCCGGAGTCTGCGAAATGGAAAGAGGCAATGGATAGCGAGATCCAATCCATGTACGATAACCAAGTTTGGAATTTGGTTGATTATGTGCCCGGACGTAAGACCGTTGGGTGCAAGTGGATCTTCAAAAAGAAGACCGACGTGGATGGGAACGTACACACATATAAAGCGCGATTGGTCGCGAAGGGCTTTACTCAAACTCCCGGAGTTGACTATGATGAGACCTTCTCACCAGTTGGGAAGATTAAATCTATTAGAGTGATGCTAGCAATTGCCACATTTCATGATTATGAGATTTGGAAAATGGATGTCAAGACCGCTTTCCTTAACAGAAAGTTGGCTG